TATACATGTACAAAACTTTCAACAACTAACCACACACTGCAGACTTATATTTACAAAACAAATGTATTTGTAAATATTTGATGTGATATACATGTACAAAACTTTCAACAACTAACCACACACTGCAGACTTATATTTACAAAACAAATGTATTTGTAAATATTTGATGTGATATACATGTACAAAACATTCAGCAACTAACCACACACTGCAGACTTATATTTACAAAACAAATGTATTTGTAAATATTTGATGTGATATACATGTACAAAACTTTCAACAACTAACCAAACACTGCAAACTTATATTTACAATACAAATGCATATGTTAACAAAATCATCCACTGATCAAGAGCACATTGTAATATTTTCACATTTTGAAACTGTGTATCAAGTTCATCTAAATCAAAGTTACTAAAATCCTTAAATTAACATGACTATATATTTATCAATCAATCAATCGTGTTACCAAAAGTATTTTCAGGTTTATGTAAGTTTTCTTCGTTCACAAGATAGCAAGATTACACTAACAAATAATTAAGCTATAAGTTCTAATTATACACAGAGAGCAATTGATACATGGAACCAAACCTGGTGATAAAACATCCACATTATAAACCTATGCCACCACAAGGTACAGTAAGTGGCACGGGATGTTACTATATGTAAAAATGTTGTATTAAACCACTCAAATGTCAAATTTGATTTAGTTCTTACATAATGTTGTTTATTCCATTAACAAAAACTATCTTTGAACTTCCTGATAGATTACTATGTAAACATGATGTATTCAGTTATTCACTTATCTAAGTTTAAATGTTATATATAAATTTGTGCATAACAAGTAGCATAGTATGCTCAGACATCTTACAAGTGCAATATTATTAAATGTTTTTTAACTATATATATATGTTTTAGTACTACATTTCTGACTAGTATAAAACTTACCAGTGAAGCTCACCATGTAGTACTAAACTCACCAACCAAGTTCACCATGTAGTACTAGCTACATGAAATTATATTCTAATACTAGATTTCTGACTAGTGTAAACTCACCAACCAAGTTCACCATGTAGTACTAGCTACATGAAATTATATTCTAATACTAGATTTCTGACTAGTGTAAACTCACCAACCAAGTTCACCATGTAGTATTATTCTTATGTATCTGTATAAAAATATTTCAAAACTTTAAATATTCCATTTTTAAAACTCTGTCTTCCAAAATCAAAATACATGTTTCAATGTTTCCAATTTTCAAATAGTACTTCACACATTTATCTTGCCCATGGTTGAAAGTAAACTTGTATACTTACAGTATCTTAGAAGACTGGTTTGGATGGTATGGAGAACTGATGTTAATGGCAGTAGGTTCTCTGACACTAGATAGACTAGAAAATGTGCTGGTGATGGAACAGGGATTCTGCAGTCCAGTAGAACTCCCTGTGGAAGGTCTTGTACCCTGTTCCGAAGCTAGGTTCAGAGATTCAACAGTTCTTCTAATTCTTTCCTCTTGACACCATCCTATTTTCAACCAACAGAAAAGAACTAACATTCCTTTTGTGTGTCTTTGATATGGTTTATAAAAGGAAGAAAAAAACAACAACTGAAAAATATATCTTTTGTTTTATCTGAAAAGTCTGTGATTAACATCACATTAGTTTTTAAAAGAAAACTTAATCCCTATTGGGAAACAGACAATGATAAATAATAATCAAATATGAGGACGAATCAAAATCAACTGATTTACATCACAGTTATGAAACTGCACTTCAAAAGAAAAACTTATCTTTTTTCTGATAAAAGCTTCTCATGATGACTAAACAATTTCTATATGTATTCTTATATTCAAAGTATGTTTCTAATAATACATCTTCTCACACCACTGCTATTACTCTACTGCTAGGGTTTGCTTCCTTTGTTCATCTAAGCATTGGTCCAAGTTTTTCTTATTTGCTCCAGTCTTTTGTTCCTCATTTAATTGCTTTTGGTGATATATGTCTCGTGACACTCTCCACCTACGTCAATGCACCCTCTATCCTGGTACTGTATATAAGCACTTCATTCAGTTAATATTATCATTTTTTCAAGAGTGACTCAATCCCAGTCTCTAACACAGGCTCTTAGTGGGGAAGAAGGGCCAGAAGAGTGTGAGATAAGTATTATTGGAAATACATTTTCAATTTAAGAAAATGTCAACTTCCAAAACATACCTCTGCTCACACTACAGCTAGAATCCCACATGGATAAGGTGGAGGAGCCGGGTAGGGAATTATACATACAGAATGTGTGTGCCTAGATTGTGGGCATGCCAATAGAAAATTAGCACCCTAGTGGGGAAAATTGCAATACGTCCAGAATAGGTATGCTTTTCACCCAGAACCAAATTCTTGCACTGCTGGTGGAAGTTAACATGATCTATCATCACTATTGACCAGGTTCCAACCAGATAACCAAAGTTTCATGATCCATCATCACTATTGACCAGGTTCCAACCAGATAACCAAAGTTCTAGGAAACTAACAGATCCCAATGAATAAAGAGTCAGCGTCTAGCACCTCTAAAGGAATTAGTGCAAGCAAACTAACACTTCAAGGCCTTCACTGGATATAACAAACAATCGGGATCCAATTGGTCATAGAGATGAGAAATAGCAGTTAGATGAATTGGTGAAAAGGATTTATCCCCTTCCCTGGCTGCCAGTGTCTTAGGTAAGAAGGACTTGTCTGAGTATAGGAGGATGTAGGTAGAATTATAAAGTGCCATGTGCACATGCAGTGCTAACAACTTCAAGCAGCAACATCCGCAGACCAGCAGCAACAAAAAATAAACCTTAAGGGAAAGGTGATACGTGGTACCACCTTATATAATGCAACTGTGGAAGATGCAAACCCTTGTCAAAGAGCCAGATAAAAAAAAAAATCTAGTTGTGGTTGACATGTTTGGACGAAGTAGGTTCAATCTCCTCACAATACACCATTGTCGATTTGTGTGCCATTTCCGTTGAGAACTATGCCAAGACTAAGACTAATACATGACAACCTTAGAAGTTAAACTCCTGCTGTGCAAAGAACCACATAACCTCCATTCATGGAGCTTGAGATTCAGGATGGCTAGGTGTACAATGTCGGATCGTGGCTGCCTCAACAGATATGGCCAAAGTGGAAGTGGAAGAGGTGAGCACACCTGAAAGTACCAAAGAAGCAGAAACCAGGGTTGAACTGTCCAATCCGGTGCTATCAAGAGAACCCAACAAGGGGTTGAACGAATCATAGCTAGTACTCTAGGTAGCATACAAATCAGTGGGAAGGCATAGGGGTGTAATCCCATCAGTCCTGACTGAATCCATCTATTGCCAGTTCCCCGAGGGTGATGTACCAGAGACTAAAGTGGCAGTATTTGAGTGTTCCAATGAGTGGTAAATGCATCGATCATCAGTGTCCTGAACCGAGAGTAAATCCAACGGAAAACCTAACGATGCAGCATCCATTCCGTCGGGAGAATCCAGTTGGGTCGAGAAATTGATTTGCCACCAAATTCATCACCCCCAGAACATGGCAAGCTAGGAGGATGATATGATGGGAGTGAGCCCAATAAAGAAGATCCAAAGTTTGATCCTTAATTAGGAGACTGGGGAATGTAACGAATTTCTGTTCATGATTCATAGGTCACATAGAGACCACTGAAAGTATCTCGTGTGCTCATCCCAAAAAAATAAGGGATTCAAGTGATGCCCACATCCCCAAAAGGGATAGAACCATCTGCACAGTGGGAGAAGGAGAAGTGAGTAAGGGACGATCTACCTGTTCCAATAGTGTGGAGCCAGGTGGGAGTCGGCCAAGCCCAACTGAGGTCCTCTGTTGAAAAAAAACACCCAGATGAACAACATATTGTGGTGGAGTGAGAATAGATTTCTGGCTCTGATAATAAAGCCTGCCTTAGTTGCTTCGGATGTGACATTCTGCCAGCTGATGGGATAGTGCCAGCAGTTGTAAATGGAATGGTGTGTGCACAAGCCATAGAGAATGGAGGTGACGAGAAAAAGCTTGTACGATTCAGCAGAACACATATGGTGCTAATGCTAATCCAAAGGGCAGAGCTGTGAACTGCAGCACCTGACCCTTGTGCCCAAAACACAAATAGTAGAAGGACAACTCTGCTATGGGAATGTGTATATAAGCATTGGTGACATCAAACTTAGTTGTCCACATCCTGTTAAAAAATGCCAATGCAAATTGGGGGATGAGTCCAGGATTGGAGAAAGGTAGCCTCATGTAACTCTCAGAGGGTGGCAGCCAGTTGACAAGTGCCCTCCAACAATGCATCTCTACCACACAAATCCGGACAACATACCAGACTAGGGAAAGTATAGAAGCTGACAATTGAACCAAGGTAAATGATAAAATAAAGCATGTTGATCTGCCAAACATGGCAGACAAAGCATACCTGTCCCTTTTCATACCCAAACAGTAAACCTCCCTGCATGAATCACTATATTAGGGGAGGGTGGGAAACTAAGTATTCACCCTCAGATTTTTCTGCCATCAAGGAAGGCATAGGCTCGAAAGCAACCAGGAAAAGACTCAAACCATCATATACTCAATTTATTAACTGAAGAAAAGCAGCTGCAAGCAGATGATCCTAATTTGGCTTCCTAAGAAGCTGACAGAATAAAGGAAGACACAGGAATAAGAGAATCGAAATTCTCTCCAGAATGTCCAGGATCACCCACAAGTGCAGCCACAAAGCCCCCCTGAAGAAACACCATCAGACCAAATATATGTCTCCATCTCATTTCGACTAAGGTCACGGACAGCCCCCCACGACTGTTGGGCATTGCTAGATATTAGAGGTGGGATAGGAGAGACCTGATTTGCCTCTGTGCCGGAAACAATAACCCAGGTATTCATGCTGTATATCTGCTTGTTAAAATAAATGTTTTTAAACAAAAAACAACTAGATAACACAAAAAACGCTCAAAGTAAATCCAACAGTCATACAACAGAGAAACCCATTAGTGAACATTTTGTCAAAAAAAGTGATATTATCTGAATGAGGTGCTTGAATACAGTACTAGGATAAAGGGCATATTGACACAAGTGGAGAGTGTCACAAGACAGATATTGCCAAAGGCAATTAAGTGGTGAATAAAATACTGAAGCAAGCAAGATAAATCAGACCAATGCTTAGACAGGCAAAGGAATGAAACCCTAATAGCTGTAGTGTGAGCAGAAGTAAATATGATTTGGAAAGAAGGTTTCCTATTATTTATGTTCCAGGGATATGGCAAATACTGGAGATCAGTAATCAAATACAAATACGAATACTTCATATTTTTATGAAAACAAATACAGGAAAAATGCCAGGTATTTGAATACGAATATATAGGAATGTATTCATGAATACTTTATCAGATAATATGCAATAAAGATAAAACAGCAGACAATAACAATTCAATACTTTTATTTTATGAAACAAACTTTTTAGAAACTGAAACAAAAAATTTGAACAAATAACATTTCAATACTTTTCTTTTTCAAAATCCATTAACAAAATTTTAGAACATCAAATATATTTTTAAAGGAGATTTAATGTGTATTATAACTGTCCATTGTTCTTTATGAACATCAGTCTCTCAAATGTCAGTGAAGGTTTTGCCTCCGATGCTAAACAAATGCTCGATGGGGACAGAGGACGCTGGAACACTCAGGTAGCAGTTGGCTAGTAGAAAAGTAGGAAAGTTTTATACATGGATCTTCCAATAATCTAGAGGGTTGCTTTCTTCAGGAATGTAAAGACATAGATGTAGGTGTTGATCTCTGTATTCTCTGAAGATGAGATGGCTGCTTTCTTGGAGGCAGCAAAGAAACTAAAGAGTTTACTTCAAGTAGGTCAGTTGATTGCAATGATTTTCGACGTAAGACATAATGGCTGATGCTTTGGAAATTACTTTCAGCAGTGGTCCAGCTTTTTCCTGCCATCCCTGACCACAAGCTATAGCAGGTGGGAAAAGCAGGGGTCAAGTTCATGAAGAAATTCAGATAAATTGTCTGCTGACTTAGATTCATCCAAAAGTTCATCTTATCTGTAGATGAGCTGTTATCATCTGTAGATAAGCTATCACCATCTCTCACACTAGGTAGCATTTGTGGTTCAAACCCAGGCAAGCAGAAAGCCTTGAACATGATGGATGCATTATCATATGTCACATGTGACAATTTCTCAAGCTTCTTTCAGTGAAGATAGCATGTAACATACAGAAATAGAAAGCTCTCTTTCTTGTAAACAAATTGGGTAATGTCCAAGCGTTTCACCCACACCAGCACTGAGTGGACAGAGATTGTTCATGTGCAAAATGGCACTTAGTGTGCAAACCCTGAGCTGAGTTTCTTTTTGGTTTTAGCATAGATTTTGTTGAACTTTGAAGCTTAGACTTGTACTGTAATTTTAACAATCTATACCGTGTAACAGAACTGAAATTCAAGCATGATTTGCTTCACTTAACTTTCCTTCATGGGTTTTATGATAACTTTAACATTGTTTTAAAAGTTTTAACAGAATATTCACACTGTTAAACTTAAACATTACATGGTTCTACTTTAACTTAAAGCTGGACTACTGGGAGAGAGAGTTCAATAAAGCTCCATTTCCTTCCTCTCTCTCACCATTCCAATACAGCCATAACAAACAAACGTGCCATTTTTTTTAATTGTTTTATCTGTGTTGTTGTATTTAATAATAAAGATTGTTCTTGTGCACTTTCCATGATTCTACTTTTCTTCCTGACAAACTAAGTTAGATATTAGAGAGATAACAGACACACATTATAAGTTGTAAATCACTAGGGGAACGTGCAGCTCAT